CCCTGGGGAGTGATTTCTCGCTTTCTGTCTCTATGTCTCTCTCTGTCTGTCTGGCGAGCGCACACGCCCTATAGCAAAAATCTCTCAAAAAAAAAAAAAAAAAGAAAGGCAATGAGATGCTTTTACTGGAAAACTCACCTTTCGTTGTGAGCACTGAAAGTCAAGACAATGTCCAATATTTATTTTATGGAAAAACACTTTCATTATAAAGATTTCTTTCTCGCTTCTGTATCCAGTATCGCCCTATTGTACGCAAGCATGACTTTCCTGCCTCCTCTCCTTCTCCACTGCATGACCCCAGAACCTCAGGCCAAGGGGGCAGCGAGGGCGAGCCCTACCTTCAGGGGCCAGAAAGTCCTGGAGATCGTGGAAGGGAGATCTGAAGATCAACGCCCTGGCTCTTTCTTGCTTTCATCTCCTTATCTGCTTTCTCCATACCTTGTATTTCACTGAAGCTGTGTGGAAAATATTGATTGCAATCGAAGAAGAGAAACAAAATCAGCCTGTCCTTGCTCCCTGTCCTCACAATGGCTGTGCTGGTCCTGAACTCCCACTGTCTTTGGGTTGTTGATAGGTTCTCAAAGCTTATCTTGCAAGGAACCCTTCTTGCTAAATGAAAGATAGAAACCCAGTTTGAATACCACCAGATGAGCCAGTTTAGAAAAAGCCTCCAGGGTTTGCTCACACACCCACATTGCATCAAGACTCGGTTACTTCAGAAGAGTCCCCATGAAAAAATAACCACACAGAAACAGAATGGAAATTAGAGATGTCTCCATAGACTCGCTATTGCTCCTGACTCACAACCAGAAAAACTGCTCTCAACCAAACTTACCTACTTTTTCCAAATCACTGTGTGACCTTGAAGAAGATCCGTAATTTCCTTCCTTGCCTCAGCTTTTTCAGTTGTTACAGTGGAAAATCCTACAGCCATCCCTCCTTGATCAGTCCTACCGACAAATGCTGCGTGGGGACTTAATCGAATGTTGTTTCTCTTCTTCACCCCCAGAAGTTGGGAGGTGAAGTCTTTGTCCCTGAGAGCCCTCTGATGTGAAAGTGGACCCCGGGGAGGGAGAGAGTCCTCTGTGAGAGAAACCAGGGGTCTCTGGGGAGGGGAGGATCTAATTAACAAGCCGGTGGCCTATGTCCTGATTCAAAAAAGGTGTTCTGAGAGACCTTAGTGCCCTGGACAGGGTCTGGTCTGAA